CCCCCCCTCAATCTAACCTGGCTCTTGAATTTGATGCTTATTAGTCTCATACATTCCTTTATACCAATATGTATGTATCCCTAAACAAAATATGAAATTGTTTTGCATATTATTTTCATCTTTATAAAATTAGCTACAACTTACCCATTTTTTTTCACTCAATGTTACACTTGGGAGATTTATCCATAAAGATACACTGTATCCCTTCTAGGACCTCTGTTGTAATTTTTCCCTTTATTCCCAAAGTTGTAGCAAAGTTCTTACCCATAATAAAGGTTGTGAATGTTCAAAAAAAAAACAAAAAAAGATACAGTGTATCCTTAATGCATTTATTTTCACTGCTAAACAGTATTTTCCATTGTATGAATCCACTACAATGTATCCATTCTCTAATTGGTGAGCATTTGTTTCAATTATATGCTAATACAATGTTGCTCCTATAATATAATTCTTTCCAATTTCAGATATTACGGCTGTATCCAAGGTGCGAAAAAAGAACAAAAACCTACAACTAGAGTTGGTTTTGTTTTACCTTCAGGTGAGTTTCTGATATAAGTAAACTAACTTGAAAAGTGAAGTGACATCTATAAGGACTGTAAGTAAATTAAATACTACAACATAGCAAAAATAAGCAATATTTGAATGATCTTTGACATATAAATTGACTAAATGGTACTTCAACTTTTCAATTTAATATTTCAAAATAAAATTTTCACAGCCATTATAAATGAAATATCTTTTTCAACGAAAGTCCCACAAAAGTATGAGAATGAAAAAGTGGAAACAGTGACCAAACAGGCAATATTAAATGGAAATATCGTGAAGGAAAGCACTGAAGCTCATGGTACTATTCAGTAAGTAAATTAATTTTGACTAAGAAATAATAATAAATATATGTAAAGAAATTAATTTCAATTAAGTAATCTTAATAATATTTGTTTGAATGTTTCCAAACATAATTCTAATGTGCTGTGATTTTTAGTCTGATATGAATATAGTTAAACAAAAATTTAGATGAAGGAGTACTCAATCCTCAATTCACCATTGTTCTAAAAATATAACCAAAACATCAGAATTCCATAGAATTCCCTAGAAATTCTAGTCATTGATTTTTAAAGTACATGAATTGTGAATTCCATAATGTAAATTGCATATTATAATTGTAAATGTAAAGTATAACTTATACTAACTTCTTTATTTCTTTTTCATATGAAATACATATTATATACTTTTAATACATATATCCATACTTCATTTAGAAAAGTTTATTTTATCATTTCAGGACAGAGAAAGTGGATGAAGTTATTAAAGAATGGGAAGGTTCCTTCTTTAAAGATAACCCTCGATTAAGGAAAAAATCTGTTTCTCTTCGATTTGATCTTCATTTAGCAGCCACTGATGAAGGGTGTTTACAGACTAAACAGGACAACCTACCAGATATAGAAGTCAGGCTTATCATGAGGAGATCATGCAGCATACCCTCTATCAAAACTCCATCAGCAGCTAATTAATCCAAAGATGGTATTTGACTTGATTGGAAAATGATATTAGGATGGACCAAGGTGGGCCATGCTGACCCACTTCTGTCCCAAAATGTAAGTTATTCAGTATCTATGTTATGATCAATGTGTGATTCTCTTTAGGGAATAAAAAATGGCATGGGACAAAATTTCTCTGAATCTAATTATGGATGTATTTTTTGGAGAGGGGGAGCTTAAAAATAAAATCAGAAATCAGTATGGTTTCTATTTTATTTATTCTCCAAATAGTCTTTTTTTTTTGAAATTTTATCAGAGACTGTAAGCATTAGCTGGCTTAGTTAAGTCTTTGAAATTTCACTCAATGGCTGAATACTCTGAGGAAAAGGGAATAGTTTATTTAAATATGATTACATTATGTTAAGCATCACAGAGTTATTCATCACTATGACTGATTGTATCTAAAAATATTTTTCTAGTTTAAAAAGAAAGAAATTATAAACAAACTTTTAAAGAGGACTCACTATTCACTTAACCAAAAAGTTTTCCTATTGTGACAATCATTTGAACACTTAGAAAAATAAGTTATATTACATGAGCAGTTTTGAGCAAACTGTAGGACACAGCCCAGTGCTAATTTGATGATTAAATAAAATTGATCTTCATCTGAAAGTGTTTTGTAGTCATTACCTGATCTCCAGAAGTTACTTTATTCAAAGAACTTTAAAGGATATGTCCTCTCCCACAAAAATTGAGGCCAGCTGCACAAAATATGGAAAGCTGGTTACTACAGTTATTAGTACAGGGTTAGCCAATCTTTCGCCATCCCAACTTTTCCATTTATAAAGTTAAATGTGACTAATTGGAGTATTTGATATGAGCATTAGGTAAGATACTATATGAAGTATTATAAATATTTCCTGCAATCATTTATGTGAATTAGGATAACAGTATTGTTATCTAAGCTAAGAATATTTGAAGGATTTATGCTTTTAAATTGTTCAAACTGTAATAAATATGGATAGAAAATATACTTGTGAATAAGTCAAGTATTCTTGCAAAGTTTTTTAAACAACCTAATTTAATACAGGTATATTTATTTTATAACCTTAAATAATAAGTACCTGTTTTCAAACATTAGAAATTTATAGGCTAGTAATTATTTTCTAAACAGACAAAATGTTGAGTACCATTCACCATACTTTTTTCCCAGCTAAAGTATCATCCAAGGGCTATAGCTATGTTAGCATTTTAGTACAGCCTTTGCAATCACAATCAATATCTCTCTCTCTCTCCTCCTCCCCCCCCCCACACAACTTTCTCTCTTTCTTTTATTTCAACTAAAAAAAGTATATTTTAACCAGAAGGAAATTATGTTAAATAACCTTTAACATAATACAGGGATATAACGTTAAATTTTTCTTTCAATTACTTCAGATTTCTTTTAGCCTGGCTTATTCTATTTAGTGAAAGGGATGATTTTGTTGTCAAGGATACAACAGCATGTTAAGTGCTTATTTTTACATAATCATCTTACCTATAGTACATCCTATACATAAAAATGTTTTCATTCAATATTAGTTAAATGTTGCTAACTTTATTAAAGCTTTAACAAATGCAATCATACAAGCTATTATAGTAAAGTTACTGTACTAAGCAACGGTAATCATAATAACGCAATATATGTAGTGCTATGCAGTGTTAAAAACTTAGTACTGGGCATTATGAATGTAACTGCTTGTTATAGTAAATCCACTGTGCAGCTAGTGTGTGTAAAATGTACATTTTGAAATATAGTACTTGGATTTATAACAGTTTTATTTGCTTTGGGGCATTTTAAATTGGGATATGAATTTACCAGAGTAAATGATACCACTACAATAAAATAAAAAAAACTGAAACATGAACTCTAAAGCTGCATTGTATTTGAGTTTGAGACACTGTGTTGAGTTAAATTGTTCCGATACGGTTAGCTCACTTGGGGAATGTAACCACGGTGGAAAGAGAATGTTTTTATATCTTATTTTAACAAAATAAAAATTAAGAATGATATATTCTAATAAATAATATATTGTAATAAAAAATCAAAATAATCCCATAATCCTGAGAAAAGTATAACAGTAGCCACCATTTGCAGAATGCTTCACAACTGTAGTCTGCATACTTGTACATAATTGCTAATCCTCATAACAGTCCTATAAGATGCATGAAATTGTCATTTTCTGAACAAATAGAAATTAATACTCTTCCATCTCTCTGGAAGAGTGAAAATGCATGCTTCTGTAACAAAATACAAAAATGAAGAGTAATTCCAATTACTAACAATTATAGGATCCCAGCCCTGGTACAGTCACTAATTATCCATGGTCCCAGGATGAAATCATTTCAATTCCCTAGGCCTCAATTTTCATAGTTGAAAACAAAGAGAAAGGTGGTGCTTGGTAATAATTCCTACCCTGCCTACTTCATAGAGTTGTTTGAAATAACATATAAGTGAAAATATTTGGCAAAGCACTACTCAAATATACAGTACTATTTAGATAAAAATTATCATTGGAAGAATTTGTGAGAACAATTATATAATGCTGACAATGATTAAATAACAGTTTAAAACACAAAAGGTAATGAGAATTTTTAATTCTTCACTTGCTGCCAGAAAAGTTATTCTTTCCCAGTGATTTACCCAATTTGAACGGTTCTACCATGATAGTTTTTAAAGTACAAAAATGTTCTCGAGTCAAAAAATGCTTAAATTAATTTGAAAGTTTCAAATGGAAGCATATTGTGGTACATGGGTCAAAATTAAACTTTATTTAAATATAAATAATATTCATACACACGTTACTCAGGTTATCAACATGTGAAATCAAAGGAAAGCTGGTATGCAGAGCAGAGTGTGTTTCTGTGTTTACAAGTTATGGCCAGCTTGTACACACAGATTGCTAATATTCATGGGCATACTACAAACATTTTGAAATAAGATATATGTGCAAATTGATACAAGCCTTTCCTAGGTTCCCTCATACACTTAGACCCCAGACCAGGGTAGACAAACTTTAGGCTGTACCATCCCTGTACCAATTATACTACTCTGCCCTTGTAGCTGAAAGCAGCTACAAGTAATATGTAAATAAATGGACATGGCTATGTTCTAATAAAATTCCAAAAACAGGAGGCAGCCCGGCTCTGGCTGCAGCCAGTCTGCCCACACTTGCCTGCTCTAGACTTTCAAAATAAGGTCTGTGGGTGGTAGATCATACCCCCGACTCTGCAGGAGGACCTTCCTGTTTCCAAACACTTTCATTCTTTTCCACACCACATGTCAAAGTCCACATCCCAAATCCTTAAGGTATTTTAAGGCACTGCAAAAGGTTGTAAAAGCAAACCATACTTTGTCCAAGTCTAAAAAAATGCTGTGAATCACTGTCCTGAAAATCTGCCGGCCTTCAATATTTCACAACTATTGAGTTGTCGGAAAAGTCATGACGTGTTTTGTCTATGTTTTTCAAAGGTAATTTATTTATATAAAGAACAAAGACCAATCAATGATATATTGCCCGTTTTGTTCGATAAACTTTTGCCATCTTTCAGTGAGCTTCATAATTCCTCGTTCATAGAAGGACCTGTCTTTATTTGCGAAAAACTGAACAAGGTGCTGATTTACAGCCTCATCTGAATTGAACGTTATGCCACGCAAGGAGTTTTGGAGAGAATGAAACAAGTGGAAGTCTGATGGCGCAAGGTCAGGCGAGTATGGTGGGTGTGGCGACACATCCCATCCAAGCTCCAATAATTTATGATGGGTGATCAAACTTGTGTGTGGTCTCGCATTGTTGCAATGGAACACAATTCCTTTACAATTAACAAGCTCTGGACATTTCTGGTTGATGGATTCGTTCAAACTGTCCAATTGTCAACAGTACACATTTGAATTGATTATTTGGTTCCTTGGTAGGAGCTCAAAACACACAACACCTTTAAAATCCCACCACACTGACAGCATAACCTTCCTCTGATGAATGTCTGCTTTTGATGTCGTTTGAGGCGAATCATCACATCGGGACCAAGACAGTTTGCACACCACATTGTTGTAAACAATCCACTTCTCATCACCGGTTATCAGTCGCTTCAAAAAAGGATCATTTTCCTCACGTTTAATGAGCATATTGCAGATGTTTATACGCGCCGTCAAACGAACTTCTTTGAGTTCATGTGGAAACCAAATATGGAGCTTGCTTACATATCTCAGCTTCTTTAGGTGGTCGTGAATGCTTGAATGATGGATGTTCAATGTTTCTGCAATCTCTCATGTCGTGTAACGTGGGTTCGACTCGATCAATACCTTTATTTTGTCGTCATCAACCTCGGTGGGCCTCCTTGACGGAGGAGTGTCGCTGAGATCAAAATCACCAGTACAGAATTTCGTGAACCATCATTGGCACTGATGTTCTTGTAGAGCATTGTCACCATAAACTTTATGCAACTTTTCACAAGTTTGACATGCGTTCTTCCCTTTATGGAAGTAAAACAGTAAAATATGGCAAAATGCAGTTTGGTCTTCCATCTTCAACTTGTTGTAAAATCTCCAAAACTCAACCAAATCGTTCAATTTATTTTTTAGAATGAAGCTAGAATTGTCAGCTGTCAAATGACATAGCAATAACATAGATGCAAATGACTCTAGTACTCCCAAAAATGAACTAGTGCCATCTGTCGCAAACATGCATCATGACTTTTCTGACAACCCAATATTTCTAGCAATACAAACTGAATACCCATGATTTCTTCTGTTTTCACAGACACAGCTAATAAAATGAGCCTATTTCATCATGTTACCTATAACCAAACTTTTATAAGCTATTTGGCTCAGACAGAGCCAAATTTTACGGGGGGGAAAATCCATTTAAATAAGCTTCATTGGAACATACTACAGATAAAATCCATGACTCAGTGGTTGGTTCAAAATCTTTCTCAACTCACAGAACTCTTTGAAAATCTGTTCAATTACTAACCCTCTAGCTAGGAAAATAAAATAAAATAAAAAGCACATAAAAGGTGTGTATAATTTTTAAAATTCATAGACTTCTTAGAGCCTATTCATGGACTACAGGTTTTTCCTTGTTCTCTCCCATTTTTTCCTTTTTCTTCTTCCTTCCCAGTCATGGTTCTCTCTCTACGTCCAATTCTGTCTCCCTTCCCGGCTTCTTCCCACAGTCCTATGGAAAGAAATTGGAGACCTGGGCCTGAATCCCAGCTTAATCACTTGCTAGTTTTGGCTTCCCTGTTTTGAGGGGGAAAAGAACCTCAAGAAAGTATGAGTGGTGTCAGAGAGGAAAGGGAGCCGAGTTCCTGGATCTTGCTGCCAGAAACAAAACTAAACTAATTGGGCCTAATACTATCTCTGGGGTTTACCAAACTAGGCCCCTGTGAGGGCTCCTAACAACCTTCATAGTTATAATAGTTTAAACAGTCATATTAATGATACATCCTGTATTTTCCAGGATTAATCATAATTCCAAAAGTCTGTCCTATGGTCCCCATAAATATCCCTGTACATGCAAGATCATATGTTCTGAGTTTGCTTTGAAGAAAAAAAAACAACTCAGTGTAAATAGAGTCTATCTTATTGGATTATTTCACTCTTCAGTCTTAATTTCTTCAGGACTAGAGAAGAGGTTTTATTTTCTATTATATTTTGCCAATATCCCTCCTTTCTTAATTTTGCAAATCTTCAAGAGTGGAGAAAGAATCAAACAGAGAAAATAAGATAACCATTTATTCATTCCACAAATACTGAGCACTTGAATGTACTATGCACTGTTCTAGATGTCAAAAGCTCCTGCCCTCAAGGAGCTTTCATTCTGATAGGAAAAAAAAGACAGCAAAATAAATACATAATGAATATAGTACGTTAGGTGGGGATAAGTGCTATACAAAAAACAAAGCACAGCCCATGAACAGAGTGGAGGTTGGGGGAATGAACTGCAATTTTAAATAGGTCAGGAAAGACCTACTAAGGAGGTGATATTTGGGTAAAGACCAGGAGGTGAGGAAGTGTATCAATGTCCCTGCTCCACTCAGATCTCCTTTCCTTTTCCATCATCTTTGTGCCACCCCGTTTCCCACTGCAGTAGGCTATGTTCCCAACAGCCAACACCCGCAGCTCTTCTTCAGAGGACTGCCTAGAGGTGACACAACACAGCACCAGCCCTAGCAGGGCACTGGCGCAGTCCCTCCACCATAACCCCAAAGGCAGGAAGAAACCAGCTGGAGTTCCTAAATGAGGCCACACAAAGGTACTGGGGTCCCTGCTTAGGCCTTCCTGTATCTTACATTAATCCTTTACATGTCTCTGATGCTTTTATATTCAAAAAGCGATTTCATGTACAACATCTCAAACACAAGTCAGACTGCCTGTTATCCTTTAATGACCTCTTGCAGTCTTATCCCTTCCATATGCTCTTCAATGTCACTAATTTCTATTTATGCATATAAAAATATTGAAGGTGGAAGACTCACACAGGGTGTCACTTGTCCCAGGCTTTCCAGACTTCTAGAGATGCCCTAGTCACTGCTGGCACACCCCAGATAGTGGCAAAGGGCAGCCCAAGAATTCAGTAAGTCATTCAAAATGTCAACACTGTTTTCAAATAATCACAGGTCAGGGAGCCCATCTGTTCCTTCTTCCTCCACCGTGGCCCACCGTGGCCAGGTGTTCATACATCCAACCAAGGGGCTACTAATTGGTAAACCAACGTACTAATGATCTCGTGGAAAGAGCCCTGGACTAGACCAGAGGGCTGCCTCAATACACATTTATTGTGTGTCTGACAATGGGTCAAGCCCTTGGTAAGCACTGGTGATATCAAGATGACCAATGCAGATGACTGTACCTTTGTTTTCAAGGCCGTCAG